GGTGGCTGGGCAGGGAGGTTTTGGGTGCTGAACTGACCCCAGCTGTCAGTTTTCCAGGGACCCAGAAAATGGACAATGTGGTTTGGGGGGAACTGGGCTTGGCTGTGGACTCTGAGGTCATCGGTCTCCCCTTCACCAGCTGCCCTCCTCCTCTGCCTGCTGTGGAAAGCTTTCTTCCTCTGTCTGTGTGTCCATCCCTGGCAGTGGTGCCCGGTAACCCTCTGTGTCTCCCTGCTCCAGGGCACAGACATGGAGGACAAGGACTACAGCGAGACAGATGGGCTCTCTGACAAAACAACCCCCAGCAAGACCCAGAAGTCACCCCAGAAAACCACCAAGAAAGTGAAGAGTGCCCTGTGCAGGGTGACCCTGCTCGATGCCTCTGAGTATGAGTGTGAGGTGGAGGTGAGTCCTAGCTTTTGGGGGCTGTGCTGACACCAAGGAATGGGCCACTCTCAGCTGAGGGACCCTGCCTAGCCCATAGTCCTTGAGGATGAGACTCTTGCAAGGACAGCTTTGTAGTACCTCTGTCCTAGAGAAAAGCATCCCCAGAAATAGCTGTTTAAGGTGAAATTTCAAACTAAAGAAAAAATGTGGAAAGACAGACCCTAACAGGGAATTTGAGTCCAGTGAAGCCAAATTTGGCAGCTACTCACAACAGAAAGCAACGTCTAAGTCAGAAGCTTAATGGCTGGGGTAGAGCTCTGCCTGACAGTGTGTGCACCACACACCCACATGCCAGCCCATCTGCTGGCACCTCCAGAGCATGGCATGTTGGCTGTCCCATGTGTGCACAGGTGGTGTGTGCACATGGATGTCTGTGCACATGTTGGTGCAAAGGGGCTGACATGCAGGGACCCTCCTGGCTGCTCCACACGGGTTTGTGTTTGTCCTCTCTGTTCATCTCCTCCTCCCTTGCTGCTCCTCCCTGTAGAGCTGGTGTGCCCAGGAGCACGTGGGGAGGTGTGTCAGAGCCTGGCAGCATCATGTGTGTGCAGGCATACGCACACAAGGGTGACATCCACAGACATCCTTGTGGCAACATCCTGGTGTGTGCAGGAAGGGCAGGGTGCCCGAGTGGTCCAGCACCGTGCTTTGAGTCTGAGGGCACCCACTTGTTGTGCATCATCACAAACACATGGCATGGGTGTTTACTGGGGGCGTGTTC